GCAGGAAAACTGCAGCAAGGCAAGAAGATGGACACATAAAAAGCTTCTAGCATTTAGAACATAAAGAGATGGAAATGTTTGAAGAACTAAGAAACTATAAAATTTAGTAATGATCAACTTACCTGTGCTAAGAAACCCCCAAGAGCAGGACCAATGATTAGTCCAATCCCCCAAGCTGTACTAACCTGAAATAATAAAGTCACAATAAGGTTCACAACACCAAAATCCAACATATGTAAAAAGTACATGACGGAAAAAGCTTACAGCTGACATTGCTGTAGCTTGATATTCATCACGGAATATCTCAGACGCATATGCCTGAAAAATTACACATTAACAATTAGATAGGAGAAATGCAACTGACAATCTTGTGTGCACAACAGAAAATAAACCAAGACTAATAGTGGCAACAAAGAGGTCACCTTCATTGTTCCAAGCAAACAGTTGAAACTCCCAAGAAGAAACCTCGTGCCAATTGCCATCCAAAAGTTCAAGCTCAAGCCAAAAAGAGCGTTGAAAATTGCACTACAATAATCACCTAATCAATGCATCTAAACACAAACATGAATACAAATAATCAAAATGATCTTTGAGGATACTAACATCGAGATGGTTCCCAAGAGTATAACCGGTTTTCTTCCATACCGATCCGCCACGATACCCCAGAACACTGATGTCAATGCTCTGCCAAGCATAAATGAGCACCCTTCCAAGTATTAAGAGATCAATTAGAACAAACAGTAGAGAGATCAATTGCAAAATAACAAATTATTGAAGCAAAGTCTTCTCACCCACAAATCCAGCATAAAACCCAATATCTTTCTCCGTCTTTGCAACACCAAAATCCTCAATCTATAAAAACAAAGGAGACATGAAAGACATATATCAGGTTAAAACCCCCTATATTGTCTAACGTATCTCTCAGTTTTCACACACAAAAAAAGAATCCATAAAATGGTAGCTTTTAAACTCTGTAATCAAATGACTCACCATATAGTAGAGGAAAGGATAGAGTGATGAAATCGGCAGAGCTGCAAACACACATGAATCCGCATGAGAATTTCCATAACGAATCATTACTTTCAACACAAGAAATCTTTTCTCACAATTAGCCATTAGCAGCAATACCAATTACATAGCCAAACATTTCAGAAAAAAAAATTGCAGAAAAATTCAATAAAACCAAAACAGAGCGATAAATCAATAGAACTTAAAAAAAAAGCACTGTACTGAGAATTAATCAAAGAAGGCAAAGAAGATGTTTTACAAGTGGAGAGGACGATGATCCAGACGAAAGTAAGCTCGAGGTAAGGATAACCTCGCCGGAGCTGTTTCATCTGCTCCACTTTACATCCCGGACAACCGTCGTGATACTTCTGCTTCTCCAACAACGCTTCTTTATACTCCTCCGCCATTATTCCGATTCAACTCCGACACAAGGAGAAAAAAAAAATCAAAGCCTCAACCTAAAATTTCCACACAAAAAAAAATAATAATAAATCAACAATCTAATGCAATCCGGAATTAAAAGGAAATAAAATTTTCCGAAAATCGTAACGGAATATTTAAAAAAAAAATCGTATCGGAAAATACCACACAGAGATTCTCTCTCTCTCTCCGTCGCTGAAGCAGAACGTGGGAGTGAAAAAAGACGAAGAGTCGGTC